GGGGGGGGGGGGGGGGGGTGGCGCTCTGGTGAGACTGCTGAGTTGTGTCGGCCATGTGTGCCGCCCACCCATCAACTACTGTATTTGAATTTGAATTGTTTTTCACAGTTCACTTATCATCATGTTATTACTCAAATTACTGTATCTCATTTTGTCTTTTTTGCTTTATCCTGAAAAAATAGCACCCCCCTGCACCCCTTCTGGCCAGGGCTAGGGGGGTGCACCCCCCCCCCAGTAAATCCATCCCTGAGTAAAATAATAAAGTAGGGCGCATCTGGGCACATTGCCACTTAAAGGGTTAATATACAAATACGAAGGGTTCCAACGAGGAATCGTACCTCCTTTCCAATATATCCTGGTTTTCTTCCAAAAGCATCTTCTGTATGTACTTCTAGGGAACAGCACACACAGCTACCAAAATATTCTTCCAATAATTTCAACAACTGATAAAGTTCATCCTGTACACAAAGTTTGGAAAGCAGTAAATATGAGAATCTTGTTTAAAATCGCAAACATTAGAATTTTTCAAAATATCAAATTAAATTACAAAATATAACAACTTTTTAATTGAGACATAAATTAATATAAAAGCAATAAAACCAGTATATCTTATATAGTTTTTAAACAAGAAATACAACGTAAACTAACATGAAAGCGATGTGGTTTGTTGAACAATACAGTAAGCTTTTCTTTGAAGTATTTCTGAATATTTTTCACAGTCGCCCGTCCTTCAGCTCCGAGAGTTTCCGTCCCGTTTTCATCCTGCGAAAGAAACAAATCTTTGTCCCATTCTAGATGCTCTTTTTTCGCGGTTTCCTCGAGTTTCACTTTCGTCGGAAATTCCTTGAAGTACTCATTGTCGTTTCTACGAACAAAATGCGGTTCTTTTTCCCAGTATTTCGCCAGGAAATCTTCCAGCGTTGTGGGATATATGAGCGAACGAAGACACTGCTCGGGGCTGTCGAAACTAAGCTTCGAAACGAACGTCTTTGGAGCGACGTTTGAGTCGCTTTTAAGCTTCTTTTTCGGTGCTTTGTCGCTTTCACTTACCACTTTACGTTTAGGCATTGTGCTTGTAATGCTGGTACACAAGAATAGTGATTTTTTATGAAGTTTTAAAAGCACAAAATGTTCAAGGTTCACCGACTAAAAAACAACGTGTCCAAAGCTTCAAGTGGATTTTAAAATTGCCCGCGAGTTCCCGCGCGATGAACACGCCCTCTGCGTGCTTTAACTTCATGTAAGATTTTCAAAAGCACAGTGATGGATAGAATATGGTAGAATTGGGCAAGTTCAGGGCAAATTATCAAACACTGCATCTTTTCTCTGGCTACATTTGTTTCCTACAGCAACAATGGATAGCATTTGCTATTTCACTGACTAGATGGAGAGCAGTTTAGAACTGATAGAGTTATCCAGTAAAAAACGTTTTATTTAATAGGTTCCTCTTTTGACACAAAGAACAAGTATAGATAGTTATGCCGTATGCAGCCTCCAAACTTAACATTTTTGGGCATGATATATGATCCTTACAAATATACTCTTAAAATTTCATTCAAAAAAAACATTGCGGTAGGTATAAAACACACAAAGTACTTAGCTCGAATGTGCTACAACCATTGTATAGAAATATTAACGACATGTAATTATAGGAATGATTGCAACATTATATGTAATTATAGCTGAGATTGCAACATGCACGCGATGAATGTCATAGCTACCCTCAGGTAACATTGCTATGGCTCAATATCAGTTAGAATTGTGAAACATTTAAAAAATTTTAAACCACCAACGGTCCTTGGCTATTGGAGGTCACTGGAGTCCAAGCGAGATAGGACCTAATTTATTCATTTAATCTTTTACACTTTACTTTACTTTACTTAGCTGCGCCGAGGCTGTTGGCGAATTTTATCCAGTGCACGGTAAATATTCGCAAAATATATCGTGTATTCAGTGCGTCTTAACAATGTAGTTATGAGGCATATCAATGAGGCGGGACTCCTAACATCACGCTTTTTCAAACAAACATGATATTGTAATGAAACCCTCATTGCCATAGATATTCTCCATAGCTACACATTTCAATTCTCCAGAGCAGTGATCTGTTACGAAAATTAAAGTCTTCTTGCTTATATATAGGTATATATCACCAAGCACTATCGTGCACCCAAATAGTGGACAACAAGACACCATCGTTTTTTTCCAATCCTAATACGAGTTCATTAGAGGCCTAATTAGGCTAATTAGAGACTCTTCAAAAAGTAGCTGCTAATTCATGCTTCGATCTTAATGCACAAATTGCCCTATAGCTTCGAACAGTTAACCTCAAAATACGACTTGAAGTTTGCCGTTTGCAGTTATAGTGGACTGCAGTAACTACGTCAATCTGTATAAACTCTCTCTTGAGATTGACGGCAGAACTGCTAACCGCAAAGTTCAAGTCGTATTTTGAGATCAAATGTTATAGCGGTTGGAATTTATGACAATTTGTGCATTAGCATGAATGCATGTGCATTAGAAATTTAGCTCTCGAAAACGTGTAGAAGTACCTTCAAATGCAATTTGAAGTTTGTGGTTTGTGGTTCGAGGTTTGCCGCATACGTCAATCTTAATATTATAGCAGCTTCGTAATGCTTATTAATGAAAGCCAGCATAAAGAACATACATGCTGCCTGATCTCATGCACAACTTTGGCAACTCAAAACTGCTTACGTAACATGACTCTGTGTGAGATAATTAGTTGCAGATACCTCTTGGCTCTTGCAACAAGTTGTGCGCGGTATAGAAATACGTTGCCTCGTGCACATGATAAAACATTGCATCATGCATACAGATATGCATGAGATTATTTGCGAAAATATTGCAGGAGGCTAGTATTACAAAATGCACATTCACCCTTCAGCCTAATTGACCATGTATGCATGTCTAGAATGCAAGCGGCAATGTCAACTAGACGCCCCTATATTCTCTATTTACCGACACAGAAGTTCTAACAAAGAATGAACAAAGATAATTCCTTGCTCAATTTGGGTATCTTAAAGAATCTTTATAGTATGAAGCAGGCCCCACTGACAGCAAAGCTTTCATATTCAAGAGCTCTTTACTGAGATTTGCATTCCAATTAGAATGAAGTGTGTGTTTGCAACCATAAGCAACGGGAGTAACACAATGTATTGCATAACACCCCCTACTTTGCTGCTAAGCCACCATTAAAATCTCTAAGCGTGGATACATATTTTTCAGTTTCGATTCTCTTCGATTGTAATGAATTTGTAACTATATAATCAATTTGCTGTTTTCTGGAATGTCTTATTAAAGGGCATTAGGTCACACTAAGTAATGTTTGGAATCTTAACTGATCTTTGGTATGCTAACAATAAAATGAATATATTACACCCCGTGGGAATATAACATTTTCCTATACCAACCACAGAAGAATGTAACAATGTCGAGTTTGGTTATTTTTAATCTAATCAGATTTTCCCTTTTTACTAAATCTACTTACAAAATACACAATTTTATAATATATATACATAAATATTTGTCATTACGTATGATTATTATATATACAATATAAACACGTATGTGATCTTCAAATGATTTTCAGTGAACTATACAGCCAAACGGGCACCTTCTCTAGTACAGACACTTAGTCCATTCCGTGTCCGTATTAGAGGTTCGGCTCGATGGGAATTATTTTAGGAAAAGGGAACTGTTTACCACGCTATAAGTCTCGAGCGTAGGTAGAAGGTACTTACACCTCCTTTGCGGTAGATTCTCGCTGAGAGAATTTCAAGCACAACAGCCTAGTATGGGAACAAATTCCTTTGCTAGTCATCTTCGGGTTTAGATGTCAAGCAACGGTTCTTGTCAGAAGAATTATGACAGTACATGCTCGAAAGTTCGAAATATTTGTTGCCGGCGAGAACCTACCACAACGAAACTGTAATTTCCAGAAATATCCATTACTGAAGCCTATATGACTAAGTATAGAAAAATTCCTGGTTGTGTAGGAATTTGAAACTGAGTAGGAGTAAATCTGCCCAGTAGTTATTGTCCTTGAATAAACTATGTGCAACCAGCCACCTACACAACCGCAATATATTGTTTTGTAGAAAGTGAGCTATGGAGTTCCCTAGGAAACGTTCGTCAGTAACAAAAATACTCTTCGATACGAAATATCTAACTCTAAAAACTTTTACTTTCATTCAGTGTTTATTTATAAAATTATTCTTGCGCTTTAGTGAATTGAATGTCAAAAGCGAAAAATGAAAATATGCATTCACTTTCGACATATATAGTGTTTATAATATACAAGTCTGTAGAACGGTCCAGCCGTACAGAATATAGTTTCATATAAATACTCCAGTTTTTTTGTAGCTTATCTTGTCAAGGTCACAGGCCAATTTTTCAACGTCTTAACGATCTGTCTCGCAGCAGGTCTTTGACTAACATCCGCGTGCCATAGAGATGATGTCAACTTGACATACATTGTGTTCTGACTGTCTTGAACAATTTCCGCTGGAAATTGTGGTCGTAAGTTCTTTTGGACAACGCCAAATATGATTACAAAATGACTTTCCATTCCGTAAGGCTGTTCTCTGACACACAACTGCCACAAACAGACTCCAAGGGAAAATATATCTGCTTTCGTTGTAGGGAACTCACCCTTGAGTAATTCTGGTGCACGATACGTGTAAGTACCTGCAAGACTTGAATTCGTTGGACTCGGAGGTTGAAAATCTTTCGTATCTCCCAGTTCCACGTACTGACAGCAACCGAAATCGCAGATTTTACAATCAAATTCAGAGTTCACAATCACATTGGCCGGTTTAATATCAAGATGAGCTAGTCCTTGTTCATGCATGAACTCCAGACCACTTGCAATGTCCAATGCAATGCGAATCCTGCGTTCTTCAGGTAGACTAGTACATTCATCATCTATAATTGTCTGTAGGTTCCTCTCTCCTGCGAATTCCATAATTACCAAACACTGCTCGATTGAGTCACCGTTTAACACGGCCAAGATCTCGACGAGGTTTCGATGACTGTATTCTAATAGCAAGCTCTCAGCTCGCAGGCTTTCTTCAGGTGCATTGGCGTTGCGTAGTTTTGATTTAAGTGTCAACTGTTTCACTGCAACCTTCCTTCCGTTGCATCTTGCTTCGTAGACTTGTCCAAATCCACCGCTACCTAGTACACGACCAAAGTCGATGGCAGGACAACGCGAATCTTGAAATCCTTGAAACTTTTTCCCTTTTGATGGAAATGCAAGTGTAGTAACACTGGAGCTTCTACGTTTTGTGGTTTGTTCAAATTGTTCCATGGCTCCGTCCTTGGAATCCAAATATATTTCACACATAGCTAAGCTTATTTCAGCTATATCACCCAATGGTTTCATATTGATGAAGAACTATCGCAGACACTTCTGTTCTCATTGAGGTCTAACATACGAATGAATGTTGGCTTGTTAAGATCTTCCGCTTTAGCTGAAAGTGCAAAGGTACTTGACAGCTAACATGTAAACAATTGCTAATACACCGCTCACGAAATCTTCCGGTCCACGCCATTGGTCAGATCTTGTTGATTGTTCAGGCTTAACCAATCAGCGTTCTGAACGACTTGCCACCAACCAATCAGTGTAACGTACAAAAGAAAGGTCAGGTCGAGCAAAGGTTTTTCCCTTTCGTGTTTTGCATTTTCGTCAGCGGCTGGATTGAAATGCTTGTACACGTCAAAACATAGTTTGTTTTCGAAAGACGTGTTGAAAATGAAATGAAGAATTCTTAGCAGTAAACTAAAAATTCCTATAAACCCCTGTGAAGTTACTGAAATAGAGTAAACAATTACATTGTAGGGTGTTACATAAGTGAAAGTTCTTCCCACATAAATACGTCTAGTACAACTTCCGTAAGCTCTCAAGTTCCCGGCTACAAGGAACGGCATGTGACTATAGTTCTCATGACTGTATCATGCAATCCAAAACCATGCATGTGTTTATCATACGGTGATGATGTCAACTATCACAGTACGAACATAATGTTCATTCTTTCTGAAGAAAAACAAATAAATTGAGAGAGATATAGTTTAAATTGCTTGCTCCTATAAATATTAAACAGTCAATGACGTTGACCACAATCTTGTCTCAAAATGGACAAGAATTAATTTAACACGTTTTCAAGCTATTCATATAGATCAGACGTGACCTGCTATATAATCTAAATATTTAAACACGTTATGTATGTGTGCTGCACGCAGTTTCTAATAGTATATACACAAGGTAAAACGTGACCCCACTATACGACCGCGTTTATACGTTTTATGTCAATACTCAAATCCCATTGTGTGTACGTAGCAGACAAGGTCGGAAAGCATGCATGAATGCCTGCGCTCAACGTTCCCATTTTTGGAGGTCTTTTGCAGAAACAATTTAAGACATAATAAGGACACTACAGTTGTGCATAATTACATATCACCTAGAAGGTACCTTACTTTGCTATATATTATTTCATTATGATGCAGTACTGTCAGTTTCACCATAAAAGGGAAATCGATAATGAAAATAACCTATATATTGCATTTGTACTATCTTTATTCAGCGCTCAGTTTGTGAACCAAAACGTACAGTAATGGATGATACCGAGCTATAGACTAAATTTTGATCTAGGCAAGAAGAACAAAATCCATCCCCACAGCTAGAAAGAGCATGTTAAAATGAGTAAAATTGCAAAGTTTGGCAGCGAAATGTTGTAAAATAAGGAAAATGTAGCCCTTTTAAACTTTGCAATTTTACTAATTTCAACATGCTCTTTCTAGCTGTGGTGATGGATTTTGTTCTTCTTGCCTAGATCAAAATTTAGTCTTTAGCAGTATAGCTGAAATCATCCATTTACTAAATTTTAATTTGCTGTCCCACAAGATTCCTTACGCTGCCCAAATCAACGACTGTATAAGTGTAAAATGGATAAAACTCGCCCCCTCCCTGTTGACTCAATAGCTCAGTAGGTTGCGGTTTGCCGTGGACGTCAATCTTAACCTCTCTAATACGTAGAGCTGCGGAACGAAGTAGTCCCGACCGGCGTCAACTTTTACAGTTCATTTCGGCAGTGTAAGAAATCGTATTGGGAAGTTCTCTTCCTGCTTGACTTGTACTATTCTGGAACGGTTTGTTTGTACAGAACACGGAATTCTTATTGTAATGAGGGGGTTTGGATCGAAACTGGCTTGTAGCATAATAAACAAACGCCCTGTTTGCACAAAGTAAGCAAAATATTTACATTGACTCAGTCACTTCTTGGATAATATCACGCAGAAAATTCTTCAAATTAATTGTAAAGCATTATTACAGTAATTTCGCAATTTGTATTATGTTATATGGTTATCAGAGACTCCAAGGAGAGTCTTTCCGGGCGGTAATGTTCCTTGCCTCCTGGCGCAAAGTCAAGTGCATAATTATCTCGTTAATTAGTATCATGAATGTTTTGAAAATAAGAGGGTTTGTACGAAGCATGTATCGTTATACGACAATTATTCAATATTAACAATGCGTCCACACGAAACTGAAACTATTCGGAACCTCAAATTCGCTCATGCAAATGTATAGGAACAGTATTGATCCCGTGCAAATGTAGGAAAAGTATTCAAGCCTTACATGACAGATGATTACACAATTCAAGACAGCTGAACAAAGTACAGGTAGTGTATAAAGTGGTTCAGCGCTAACGATCTAAGTACTTCCCTCTGCAAAGCTATTGAACTGATTTCCTGATGAAGTGAACTAACAAAATTCAGTAGAAATAAAGATTTGTTTCACTTAATTTAAGCGTAGTTTCGATGCGTAAGACTAGAATGGCTATCTATACACATTATTGACACGGATACCTTGTGAATCCGGAGTTTAATAACTTCACAAAATAAAGAAAACATTGATCTTCCTTAAATCCAAAAATGTACATCAGTACATATGTATTTACCAAAGACAGGACCGGCTTGTTATGTCGCTCTTAGGTGTTAGTTAGCTTAGCAAACAGAGTGAATATTTTGTGAATGAGTAGATTACACTGAGCGAACAGATGGTGGTCAACCTGCAAGAGTTAGAAAATAACGTTTTCAACTGTTTTGTGTTTGGAGAAAAATAAATGAAATAGACCTTTCCCCTTTTGAGTGAAATTTTGATCTAGACAAGTCTGGACAAACATTTCATCACAGCTTGAAAGAGCATCACAAAATTAGTAATATTCCGAAGTTTCGTTGCGAAATGTTGTAAAATGTGGATAATATAGCCTTGTGAAGTTTGCCGTTTTTCAGTCATTTTGTATTACAAATGGGAAATTGATAATCAGTTTGATCATCTGATTATCAATTTCCCGTTTGTATTGATGCAAAATGACTGAAAAACGGCAAACTTCACAAGGCTATATTAACCGCATTTTACAACATTTCGCAACGAAACTTCAGAATATTACTAATTTTGTGATGCTCTTTCAAGCTGTGATGAAATTTTTGTCCAGACTTGTCTAGATCAAAATTTCACTCATAAGGGGAAAGGTCTATTGAGAGATGTGGTTTAATTTTTTTCTCTATATCAAAGTGTCAAGATTTGTGGTTGACCACGATCTGCTGCCATGTCACTGTAACCACGTGGTCTTCGCACTGCTTGTCACAAGTTGTCAACAATTTTGGAACAAGCTGTTAACAATTTGTAACAACCTCGTTGATATATTATCAGACTTGTTGCAAGGTTGTTCCAACAAGTCCGATACAGTCATGATATAGCAGTATTGTTACAACCTTGTGTCGTCAACCTTGTAACATTCTTGTTTATCATGACTGTGACAAGTCTGATAATACCATCAAGCTTGTTACAAGTTGTCAACAGCTTGTTCCAAACTTGTTAGGCTACAACAACTGGGAACAAGCGGTGCGAAGACAACTTGTCGACAGCTTGTGAACAGATTTGTAACAACTTGTTTGCAGACTTGTGACAACTTGTGCGTTTTTACGTGTGTACAAGATTTGTCATGCATTTATGCGCAAGTCACATGCACTATACTTTGATGTCGTCATCTCAAGCAAACGAGGAATGACGACAGCACTATATGGCATACCTGCCGCACAAGTGACGGATCTTGCACTCATAGTTAATTTAAAGCACTCTACATTGTCGTACAGATGACGTAATCTCTCTTTTATTACACACGACTAAACGTCTTGTAAACACGAGCGTGGCGCCACGTTCTACATTCCACGTTTTTCAAACCAACTTTGTTCCTGTGAACTTGCACGTCTTACAGTGTCTTGCAGTCTGCAGATATGACGTATTCATGCAATACAATACAAGAATGACGCAATATGTATTGTGACTGACGACACAGACCCTGACCTAGACATGCTGCCACACATGCGAATATCAGCTGAGTATGCATGTCATGTTATCAATGTTATGTATTGTTTATTGTTTTATTCCTCTAAACATAATTGCCTTCTATAGCTATTTTTATATACGCAGAAATTTGGCATTGTGCATTCAACAGTTGTTCATACTCTGAGAGCAAGACTCTCAAATCTACAAAATACACTGTTAAGGCCGATACACTACACAATTTTTGCCTAAAACTGTCGCATGCAACCTGCTTACAACTTGAGTTGTACTGTGTAAATCAAGTACACAACTCATCTACGACAACGGCGAGTTATGTTGATTTACACAGTACAACTCGACTCGAGTTGTAAGCAGATTGCATGAGACAGTTCTAAGCAAACGTTGTGCAGTGTACATTGGCCTTTACTGCATATGATGAAACGAATTATTTTATCAGAGTGAGAAAATAATGTCAAATCAACATTATTTTCTCTCTGATAACTGCAGGTTGTCATGCATCATTTGCTGTGCAACACAGGCTACACAGCGCTCAATATGAAATCTGCATATTAACTGAAACCATTATTAAATTTTAGAAACACATTAATCTCATCAGTCCAGTAAAGTAACAAGAATTACCTAGAAATCTCCCTATAAAATCAATAAAATCACTATTTATTGCATCATGTTTCCTATACAATTGCCTTATCTACAATAGTTTTATATAGCAAATTGGTTACAGGGAAAACCCAGCATGAATATCATCTTACATCCTAAACAAACTTTCCCATAGTTTGAACCTATTGTTAATCCTATTGTCTTCACTTAGCTATTATCGTACAGGATAATCCTGGATATAAACACCCAGTTAAATAAATATAACATTAGAATATTAAAACTGTTTTCAACACTTTGTACTTTTCTCTTGTAATAAAGTCATCATTCATCAATCTTGTTACGACGTGTAGATTCTCACGGCCGAGGTTTGTGTTATTTTCAAAGCGAAAGACCGAGGTGGATAACATCCCATACACAAAGCAAATGTAAAGCAAATTATGCTAAATAACAACACTACATATGGCAAGTTAACAATGTATGATAATTAGGATAATTATGGAGCAATTAATGGATGAGAGTAATTAGTGTTGAATAGACTACTACCATGTATGGATAATGTGACGTCAGGCGTGTGAGAAACAGCTACAACAATAGAGGTAGGCGTATTACGTCACAATAAGCAGATCACTTGATTTACATTGTGTTTAACCTTCTATTAACCGTGGTTTAACTGTTGTTCATGAGAACACTGAAACAACTCATGACTATGTCTTGACCTTATTTGGACACTGAAGCAACTCATGGCTGGTCACAGCTTTCTGATTTTTGTGTGAACATATCGTGCATGGTTAACATTTTGCAAGAACAAATCATTAATTTTGTAGTCAATAAAGTTTGGGTGAAAATGTCGTGCAAAACCTTGCTGCATGAACAAATCATGACAAGCTGTAAAAAATGATAAAAATGTTATTCGAAATAGTTATTTCACTGCTCTATTAAAACATTGATTTTGTGCCCAAAACAATCCTTAGTTTTTTAAAAACACTTCGTTTAATTTTTGAATGATTTGCATACAGCGCATAAAAGACAAGAGCTAGATAGATCTAGATTATTCCACATCGTCGAATTTGATTTGGTCATGACAGTTACGATAAGTGGCGCACATAGAGTTGAAAATCACAAAAAGTTGGTCCCAGTTTTCTCTAAGACTGTATCAAAGTCGGTCCCCATTTTCTACTATAAGAGTTGTTTAATCCACACGCCACAAATGTCTGTTGTGGAGAACAAGAAAGTCGGTCCCAGATCGTCCCAAACCCCCTCCCGCTCCCCCTCCCCCAGCATTTGTTGAATGTGCGTCCCTGGTTACGATGAACAGACTTAGCCATAGAAACCACTACGATGTCGACTCATCTCTGCATTCATTAAACCTTGATTTACATATAAAGCATACAGAAGACTAGATATAGCCATGCAGAATATGTTAATAGCTGCTACCAAATGGAAACAAGGTCAAAGCAATAAGGTTTCTTAGTCATTCAAAGACTTTAAGTATTTTGGGTAAATGTTTCTAAAGAGCTACGAAAGTAGTCTTTCTCACAGCCAATTTTCCCGCCATTTGGGGGGTACTGCCGCTCCCACGTTTGAGAGTCTCCGCACCACGAAATACGTTTTAGTATTGCAGTTGTTTGTATAATGGTAACTTTACAGTTACAACTTTTAAAAGTCGCTTTTCACGTTTTTTGAATTGTCTAGAATCTTTCACGAGGACAGACAGGCGGATTTTGGCCTTCGAGAGAAAGGTTAATTGGAATTGTGGTTTCCATATCTAAAAATATCATATTGTTAAACCATCTTTCTCATAAACCAATATCCAACTTAAGTGTTTGCTATTTTAAATTGTTTGTTGTTTTTTTCCTCTCATACCTAACCGTTGAGTGAGTGAAGTTTCAACTCACACAAGTTTGTGTATCTATAGTAATTTGGAGAGTACAATGAAATATGTTTCTACGTAATATCTTAAATAAATTAATAATTTAACAATATATTAAACTTTAATTCCTTTTAAAGTTTAAACTTCCTACCAAGTAATTTGGAGAGTAGAATGAAATACGTTTCTACGTAATTCCTTAAATAAATTAATAATTTAACTACAAAATAAACTTTAATTTCTTTTAAAGTTTAAACTTCCTACCAAGTGTATCTATAGTAATTTGGAGAGTAGAATAAAATATGTTTCTTATTATTTTACAAGACATCCTGTATATGTCATTTCCTATAAATATTATCCATATGATATTATCGCACAAAGGTCAAAATATTGGAATTCTATCCCTCTTTCAAGTCGGCAGTCATTAACAATTCAAAATTTTAGAAGTATCCTAAAGAATTATTATTTAACTTTAGAGTAGTTGACATGTGGAATGGCTGCGTGGTTAAAATTGGGGGTAACATTGGCTGTACATATAGATTTTTCCATAAAGCATTTATTTTTATGAAACGTTTTTCCCTATTTCTCTAACTTTATAACTATATAATTCACAGTGAAAAACCTCCTTATTATTATAAGTATTTAGGTCACTTAAATATTCCTACACATGCTCAAAACTAAAAGGTATTTACCGCTTTATTCTGATGATGCATGCATGCATACAGCGCAACCGCTTGCGCACTCATCTTTGTCTACCTATACTGTCACTAGCGATCCCAAGGTGTCCGTTACGTCCCACTGTGTCCTCTATAACAATCTAAGAAATCTTATATATTTCATTGTTGATTCATATGAGTCACGTTTTAGGGGGAGTTAATATTTTTAGACTTTTAGGGTTAGAATTAGGGTTTGAATTAGGGAAAGGGTTAGGATTGGAGTAAGGGTTAGGGTTAGGTTTAGAATGAGGGTTAAGTTTAAAGTGGAAGTCAAGTCCGTTCTGCACATCGGTTCTGCTCATAACAATGTGAGGACCTCTAATGTGAACATTGCCCAAATTTCGAATGTTTTATTTTTATAATTTTTATAAATTTACGTGGTGTTTCCACAAACAAAAACAATTATATTTTATCGCCATGCAAACATTCAAAGAACTTAAAAACTCTATTTCATATTCATTTAGAAGCACAGCGAACCAAAATGGTGTTAGATATTCAGACAGTACATCATATTTTAAAAAATACAGCAGTTGAAAATGTAAACAAACCGTTTGTTTACATTACGGACTTGAAATAAAAGAAAATACAAAATTACAAAAGTCTAAAAATAGTAACTCCCCCTAAAACGTGACAGGTATACTAAAACGTGACAGGTATACTAAACCGTGACAGGTATATGTTGATTGAGTACGAGATTGATTGCAGACTACCATACGACGGAACGAGTTACTCAAACATTTCATTTATTTCTAAGTGCAATTCCCATACAATTACTACTACCTACATACAATTTCTACATTCATATAATTTAAAGGCCATATAAATAATAAAATATCTTACACTAATTCATTCAAATGTATTCTTGTACAATTTCTAACAATTCCCCCCAACAAATATTATCCTCTGTTAGTTAACTACCGGGTGTCCCCCCCAAAAAACTGGACACTGCATGTTTGATTTCATGTAGCGTAAAAGATATAAAAACTATCGCAATGAAATAAAGATCATGGCATTCAGAAAGGACTAACTTAGATTTTGATATATAACACTTGAATTTACATGCAATATTGACTGCGCTACTGATGTTTGAACGGTCAACTACTGTTTTTGAAAATGCCACAAATTAGCATAAAACAACCTTATAATTAGCCCTTTTTTACTGGGTTTTCACCAGGTAAAAAATAATCAAAGTAAAAAATATTCAGGTTCAAACTAATCAAAAAATAATCAAAGTAAAAAATATTCAGGTTAAAACGTATTCCAAATTTGTATCTCGCTAAATATTGCATGTAAATTCAAGTTTCATATATCAAATCTAGTTAGTCCTTTCTGAATGCAATCATCTTTATTGCGATAGTTTTTATAGTTTTTACGTTACATGAAATCAAACAGTGTGCAATTTTTTGGGGACACCACGTAATATAAGAGAACCGAGTAAGTTCTCTACATCATTGGATCACTTAAGGGTAACCCAAATTCACCACCAATACTATTTCTGCATGATATAATCATGCTTCACTTAACAGTAAGTTCTGTACAATATCAGCTCCCTTTAAGGTAACCCAGAATTAAGAATTACCCATATTCGGGAACATTTTCCACATTGTACTACCTCTGTATGATCTAACTGGATGCCTAAGCACAACATCAGATCACTTAAACATTACTCACATTCAAGAACAAATGCTATATACACCCGTGTGCACCGCGTGCTTAAATTAGAGTTGAGCAGAAAGAAATAATTGTGTTTGCATGAGTATGAAAACAGTTTCTATAATAACTACAGTGAAACACGCAATTTGATTGGTCAATAGCCGCGCAGGATCAGGCTATCTTGCACGAGGAATTAAAACGCCTTCGCGGGATTCTCAAAATGTCATTGTTTCACTGTAGTTATTTTATAAAACAATTACCAAATGGTTTTTCAAGCAGGATAGCGTGATCCATGCACTTGGGATGTTGCTCGACTTTTGGAAAGCGTAAAAATACACTCACCTGCGGCTCGAGTATTTTTACGCTTTCCGAAAGTCTCGCGACATCCCTCGTGCATGGATCACGCAATCCTGCACGGAAAACCATTCGGTATTCCTTTATTAGTGCTGCGCACATTTCAAAAATTCACCATCTCTGCATAACCATGCACAAGTTCTGTACAACAACACCTAACACAGTAGTATATCACTGCCTATACATCGACATTTTTCTCATCAACACCCTCAGTGTAGAGGACCCTACAGATAAATAACATTAAAATCTGACCGTTGTTCAGCATTGTGTGTCTTCCTGCATACTCCCCTGCTCCTTATTATCCCTTTGCATCACCCATGTGCCCTATGGTTCCATCAACAACACTAAAAGGAAAAGCGAGGTCAGTTCTAAACTGTTCTAAATAAAGGTCCAGTACGAATCATCCGTTGTCGGTTCAGTGTTACTACAGGAGATACCTAAACAAAACTGTCTTGATATTGGAAAACTCCAGGGCTGGAAAAAGTATCGGACTCGGGACCATTGGTCCTAGAAAATTTTTCGAGTTCCCAGAAAATATTTCCCCAAGAAAGAAAAATTGTAATAATTTAGATAAAAGGAGAAAGTGCATCGATCTTAATGGTGCGATAGTGTATAAATGTATGGCAAATACATTTTTAACTAATCTGGGACACCTGATTTTCAAAATTTTCTGGGGTAGCATGGATCTCCCTGACAGTGTCCCCTAGTAGTGCCCTAGCTTTTTTGGCATCTGTATTTACCCTTAGGATCAACCCTTGATGCATGTTATCTACCTTAGTTTTAGGTTATATTTTAAAATTCTCAGTGAAATATTTTCCCTGTAAAATATAGCAAGACATCCAGTTTGACTTGTTAGTGTCACACAGATACAGTGTCCAAGTGTCGACTTACTTGATTAGTTTACAGAAAATTTTCAATGTTCTCTTGCGGTCCCAGAAAGTAAAATATTTTTTGCACCTCTGGAAAACTCTGTCAGTTTTAAACAGTTCTCCCTATGTATTATCTAAGGGCCATCCTTATTGCTTCAGTGGGAAACTGTTTTTACACACATTACATAAATTACAGAGGGAAACGGGCATACCTGGAGAAAACCTATACGGTGTTTGGTAGAGTCGAAGTACACACGTAAAAATCTCACAACTTTGTCAACAAGATGTGTTCAAACAGGCTTGTAGCAAGCTTGTGAACAAGTTGTAACAATGCTGTCATTTGATTAAGTTGCTACAAGGTTGTCACTCGCAACTTGTTGACAAATTGTTGAATTGCAGGACGATAACAAGTTGTTGTAACAAGTCTGTTGAGTTCAACAATCTTGTAGCAAGTTGTCAACAAGCTGGGAACCATCCTCGTTCAGCCGAGAAGCCCTGGGAACGAGGATGGCTGGGAACAAGCAGTGCGAACACATCCTGTTGACAAGTTGTTAGAACAGCATTGCTACAAGTCTGCTGCAGGTTTGTTACAACTTGTGCGTTTTTACGTGTGTAGTCTAAGCACTCTTCTCGCAGATCTACCTTAATGATATTTAAAAAATACGAGGCAAACGTCATCATCTGGTGTGAAAACTACCTGACAGACACCATCAATAACATTCATGCATTGAAACCTGAAAGCCATAACTTACCTCACACCTTAAGAAAAGTATGATTTCGTAGCTGCCTCGCTGTCCATCTTTCATGCGGGTCATGCACGAAACAATGCATCAAGAAATCCTTGCCTTCTTCACTGAGGCATTCTGGGATAACTGGTGATCCACCTTCTCCAACTTTTAACATGATCGCCCATTGGTTGTCGTAATCACTCCAAGGGGGCTGGGAACAAATAAAAAGAATGTGAGATGTATAATGACTGGGTTGAATCATAGATGCTTAATCATAGATGCATGCTTTTGCTTTTTTTTTTTAAATCATATAGATGCTTATTTGTTTTTAAGTGTCTAAAGGCCACCTAAAGTGTCAAGGAATTGGGGAAAGCAAAGACTCGCTTATCAGGCCATAACAAACTGGAACAACTTGAACAGAAAGATAAAACTCTCTAGTATACTAGAGAGTTTTATCTTGAGAGTTTTATCTAGTATACTAGAGAGTTTTATCTAGTATACCAGAGAGTTTTATCTTTCTGTCCAAGTTGTTCCAGTTTGTTATGGCCTGATAAGCGAGTCTTTGCTTTCCCCAATTCCTTGACACTTTAGGTGGCCTTTAGACACTTAAAAACAAATAAGCATCTATATGATTTTAAAAAAAAAGCAAAGGCATGCATCTATGATTCTTTGAACTTTCCCTCGTATAATTTTTAAATCTTTTTCATAGTTATGTAGTATATGCCTGTCTTCCTTGTAAATTTGTTTATTTAGTTCAGGATTTTTCTGAAAATCACTTTGTGAGAAAGCTTCCTGAAAATTAAAAATTTATTGAAATCCTTGTGTTTTGCGCGCAATATGTTTAGGGATAGGGTATATATATTTGTAGATGGAAATTTGAGCAGAAGATTATATACAATTTTCGGATCTAACCAGGAGCAGTTGTGAAAAATGAAACTATAGGCCCTGGCAGGAATCGAAACTGCGATTCCGGTGCAGCGCTTGATCATTGCAAAGCACGGAAATATTACCCACTTTACACTTTTGGAAATATTTCCCGTATTTTTAACTAATAGCTAGCAAATGACTGAACAACAATTTGGAATTGAAATCTTGCAAAAGATCTTACTGACACCTGATGATTGCCTTTAATTTCAGCGGACAAGGAAATCAATCATTAATGTCGGACATTTCTTACTTTGACAATGGTAGTTTGACTACCTGCTGAACGACAATACTTAGTGAATTTTGCACTGTTTTTCTTCTATGGTATATCTTTTTAATCAATCAAGCATATGATAACATCAGACATTTGAAATGACAAATTGACTTTAAATAAACACGTCAATAAACATGATAATTTATTCATCATGTACTGTATTAAAAACTCCGCGGCACGAACTTTATTAACCTGATAATTAGGGAAGCCTCGCAGTGCCACAGAAGGTCGTCTCCAATTGGATGGGGGTTTTCTAAAGAACGAAGGAATTCGTTGTTGTAAAAACAAAAGCAATTGTCAAATCGAGCCAATGAAAATCACTCTTCCGAGCTACTGCAAGACTACCCGATAATTCAAGTGATATAATGATTAAAGGGGAAGTCAAGTCCGTAATGTAAACAAACGGTTTGTTTACATTTTGAACTGCTGTATTTTTTAAAATATGATGTACTGTCTGAATATCTAACACCATTTTGGTTCGTTATGCTTCTACATGAATATGAAATAGAGTTTGTGTTCAGAAAAATTCGAAACATTCAAAATTTGGGCAATGTTTACCTCAGAGGGCCCTCTATTGTTATGCGCAGAACCGATGCGCAGAACGGACTTGACTTCCCCTTTAATGGAAATTTTTACTTCTTTCTTAAATATCTATGTTAAGTATAGAGTAAATAATATATAATAATTGCTTTCGCTGGACTCAAAGATGGATACATAATCATCTAAATTAATTGTAAGTTTGTAACGTAAGGTTTTTACATTTCATTTAAATTTTTAAAGGTGATGTAAAGTCCGTAATGTAAACAAACGCTTTGTTTACATTTTGAACTCACTGCTACAGTTGTAAAATATGATTAGATATATATTATACTTAATTTTTAACACTTTTCTGGTTCGTTATGCTTGTAAATGAATACAGACTAGAGATTCAATTCAAGAAAGTTCGGAAGGTGCGAAATATTAACAACATTCCAAAGGTTGCTCCCCCACTGATGGAATGTTTTGATGCGCAGAATATATGCGCAGAACGGACTTTACCGCATCTTTAATTATTTTTAGCTGCCATCTTTATTAATCCATTTATAACAAAAAGAACTCCATATTATACAATAATTATATAAGGGATGTATTAATCTTTTCGTGCCATTTCTAGAAAATTCGACATTTTCTGAACAGAGCAAAATTGACGTCAGGACAGACAATTTAATTTATATAAGCGGACGAAGCATTCATCCGTGAGAATTTGCATTTTTGCTCAAATCAAGCCAGTGACTGGGCACAAATGTCTATTACTTAGTAAACATATACGTCATATATTATACTCGAAAATAACTTGCATGTTTTAGTTGCTGTCAATGAAGAAGAAAGCCTTGTGACCAGCATAGCTCGTACACAGTTTGGTAAAGGATTACATGGTAGCTTTGTTTGTATTCAAGCTAAAGTTCAAAGATAATACAAGTCAAAGGCAGACATCAAACAGCGTGGAATAAGCAAAGAAAACGTCTAGGTTCCAAGCATATTCCAAGCGAATCAAAGCAGGCACTGAACAGCCAAGAACTACTTTACTTCAGATTTTTATCCAGTGACCAGTTCAAACCATGGCAAACCATACCAACACAACAGAACGAGAAGAATATTTCATGGTAGGATGGTTTAAATATCCCAAAGACCTCGATGTCAACTATGATCTTCTTCAGTTACTATATATCATCATTATGATCACATCCTTGCCATTAAATGTCATATTCCTAGCAATGATAATCAAAAACTCTGGCAATAAAACTTGGACTAATATGAGCATTATTCTCGCAAGTATGTGCGTGTTGTTTTTAACTATGAACAGTATCACTACAGCGAACCAAGTTTATAGAATATATCACGGAGATCAGACGACACTTATAAGTGATAATGTGATCAAAAATGTCCTACAAGTAGCATTCACAAAATATTACTTTAGCGCTTTCCTTTTAGCGCTTATTACATACGGTATGATAGTTAAACCATTGCTATATAAAGCTCTGGCGCCCAAGCCACGAACTATGGTGTTTATAATCTTGGGACTGTGGATAACTGGCGGAGGAGTGTTTCTGATCCTACCATTATTTATCAACGATAACATTATGCGGACGATTGCGGTTTTATTTTGTTGGATAAAGACATTTGTGATGGCGATTATGCATGCAAAAATTTTGACCACACTTCGACGTAGAAAACGTGAACTACGAAACACATTAAATGTGGCAGCCTCACGTCAAGGTTTACTGGTTATTAAACAGAATTCAAAGCTAGCTACAACACTGTTTTTATATATTTTATTCATGGTTCTAATGACACTACCTATAGGTACATGTATATTTTTATTAAACAACTGCCCGTCATGTAATAATCCACTAACTATAAAGATTATTCTCCATCTCATTCCCGTCTCGGTGTCAATGTCTGTCTTGTTCCCAGTCCACTGGCTGTTCGGCACGCCACAGTACTACAACGAGATCAAGACACTGGGTTCGAAACTGATGACGTGTTTCAAACATTAAATGTCACAGATCTCAAATGAAAACTGGATAGCGCAATCCGTTGTTAACTGGTATACATAATGAATCTAGTTTTAAAAACATTTGAGATTCAGTTCAGTTATATTTGTAAGTTCATTGATTGAAAACATTCTTAAAATGTATAAATAGAGATGAAGGAGATCATTTAACACGAACATGTAATTATATGAATGGACATTAACATATAAATTAGGATTTCTAGCCATTTGCATGCAAATATTTAACAAAAGGATATTTATTCTGTTGTCTATAATTTATTCTGAATTATTCTTCTTTTATCAAAAAGCAAATAATGTAATACTCTAATATGAAGAGATAAATACTGTATTTCTGTGATATTGTAATAAATTCATTTTGAAATCAAAGTTTGGATTTGAAACACGACACGAAATTAATGAACTTAATGATAATTAGAAATATAGGATAAAATTATGAATGTAATGAAACAAACGGAGCTTTTCGGAAATTACTTTTCCTGGCCTTATCTATAATTAAAAACATTTGTAAGATCATTGGTTGAAAACATTCTTACAATGTATAAATAGAGATAAATTAAGAAATAAATTGATACTGGATATTTACAATATGGCCATAAGATAGACGAAGAATGTGTATGTACATCTAAAAAAATATTCAACCTAATCATAGCTGATCATTTATGTCACGTGTACCATCCTCTGGTCGATTTAATTACTTATAAATTCGTTTTTTACTCTGACACAATTTTCAATTGTGTTTCTATAACACATAAGTGAACATGCAATATATTGATTTTAATTATTATGTTTATTAACGTCTTTATCATAACGTGTCCTGCGCGCAATATGGTTAGGGATAGGGTTAAGCTGGAGTCATACGAGCAACAAAATTGCTGCAACTTGCAACAAAATCTGATTTCAACGCATGTTAAAGGACATTGGCAATAAAAAATTAGTTTAGTTCATTTGAAAGAACTCTTAAAACTATATATTAAACTCTATTACAGATCTTGCTTAGTTTTCAAAATATTTCGACTGAAAGAAGTGAGCTGTTCACCATCTTGGATTATTGAGGATATGCATGTTACGTCAAGAGAGGGGTCACGCTAATTTTTTATCTTGAGAGTAAGCGATCAATGTGGGTCTAAAACTTCGTTTCTGGTTGCTGTCTGAAATTTAGAAATGATTAAAAACATTTCGAACAATTTTGTATTGTTATTCGGTCATTTTAGAGTAGTTTTATATGGTTAACCCAACTCGTGACGTCATCAAAACCATAGTTAATGAGGTAAAGAATTTTTCCAAGATGGCGGAAAGCTAATTAATTTCGGTCTAAATATTTCGAGAACTAAGCAAGATATGACAAATCGGTAACAGAATTTAATATATAATTTTAAGAGTTCTTTTGAAAGAGACAAACTAATTTTTTATTGCCAATGTCCTCTAAGTAGAAATGTCGACACATGTTGCCTTGTGATTTGTAATGCATGTGTAAACATTTTCAATGGACCATTTGCATTATAGACTAAATTTTGATCTAGACAAAAATTTCATCACAGCTTGAAAGAGGGCAATTGATAAAACTAGAATAGTGAAGCGAATAGTGTGAATAGTGCGAATAGTCGACGAATAGTACGAATAGTCCGCGAATAGTCGACGAATAGTGCGAATAGTCGACGAATAGTGCGAATAGTCCGCGAATAGTCGACGAATAGTGCGAATAGTCCGCGAATAGTCGACGAATAGTACGAATAGTCCACGAATAGGCGACGAATAGTACGAATAGTCCACGAATAGGCGACGAATAGTACGAATAGTGCAATAGAGACTTTGCAAGGCTTTGCAGCAGTGCTGTAGAACTAAATTTACCGGGGGGGGGCTCTGTTGACAAACATGAAATCGTGAAAACATTCGTCGACGTACGTCAATGACGTCATACGTCTAGTGATTGTCATCAGTGGCGCCGTGGCCGGGGGGGCATGGCCCTCCCCTATTGTTGACACCCGTCGTAAAATTGCCAATGCTGCCGGAAATTGTCGGAAAATTGTCAAGGCTGTCGGAAATTGTCGAAGTTGTCGACGGGGGGGGGGTGGGTGGGGGTGAAGATTTAAAATGTTGTCGTCCGGAAAACTTTTTGGTTTGTCGGAAAAATTTTTCGGTTTGTCGGAAAAGTACTGCCCTTGCCCCCCCCCCAAAAAAAAAACATGGGTCCCACGGCGCCACTGATTGTCATTCTACTTCCTGTTAAATATTTGTTAAAACTCAGTGGTCCCGTAATTTTTACCGATTACGTATGACGTCATTGACATCAACGAATGTTTTCACGATTTCATGTTTGTCAATAGAGCCCCACCCCCCGCTTCGGTAAATTTAGTTCTACAGCACGGTGGAAAGCCTTGCAAAGTCTCTATTGCACTATTCGTCGACTATTCGTACTATTCGTCGACTATTCGCGGACTATTCGCACTATTCGTCGACTATTCGCGGACTATTCGTACTATTCGTCGACTATTCGCGGACTATTCGCACTATTCGTCGACTATTCGCGGACTATTCGCACTATTCGTCGACTATTCGCACTATTCGTTTCACTATTCTAGTTTTATCAATTGCCCTTGAAAGAGCATCACACAATTAGTAATATTCCAAAGTTTCGTTCCGAAATGTTGTAAAATGCAGATAATATAGCCATGCGAAGTTTGCCGTTTTTCAGTCATTTTAGATTACAAACGGGAAATTGACAGCCCAATCGGGTGTTGGGGCATCAATTTCCCGTTTGTAATCTAAAATGACTGAAAATTGAAAACTTCGCAGGGCTATATTATCCGCATTTTACAACATTTCACAACGAAACTTTGGAATATTGCTAATTTTGTGATGCTCTTTCAAGCTGTGATGAAATTTTTGTCTAGATCAAAAATTAGTGCGTTGAAATCAGATTTTGTTGCAAGTTGCAGCAATTTTGTTGCTCGTGTAACTCCACCTTTAGGATTGACATATTTTTGTAGATGGAAATTTGAGTCGAAGATTATATACTTAACCAGGCGCAGTTGCGAAAAATGCAACTATAGGCCCATCCTCGTACCCAGGGTCTGTTTTCAGCAGGTGGCCGTGCACCGAGTATAAGAGAAAATAGCCTGGGTACGAGGTTGCTATATACGCCCTCTGGCAGGAGTCGAACCTGCCTCTCAAGCTGAATTGAGAGCCTGCATCGATGACTAATGAATTTGAATATCTGCCCCGTAACGTTCATTTTTCCAAATATGGAATGTCTATCCTTATATGGTGTTGTTTACAACTTTCGTGCAAACTAAATTTAGACCGTACATTTTATACTGTTTTTCGAAATATAAGATATTCAAGCAAAAGTTCAAATGTTTTAAATACTGTTTTCTCAAAACAGAACATTTCGTGCCTTGATATAAGACGGCCAAGACCAATTTAATCAGTTAATGTGTTTTTTTTTATGCATAGTGCTAGCAGTTGACATATATAGAGCTCAGCGGAAACATATAAATTATAGCATCTGACCAATGAGAATTTCGCGTCACGATTTGAGACGCAGATATTCAAATTCATTAGTCATCGATGCAGGCTCTCAATTCAGCTTGAGAGCCTGTTCGCAGGCTATTGCAAAGCATGAAAAAATTACCCACTTTTGGAAATATTGCCTGTATTTTTAACTAATAGCTAGCCGAAATGATTGAAGAACAATTGGGAAATGAAATCTTGCAAAAGATCTTACTGCATGACACCTGATGATTGCCTTTAATTTCAGCGGACAAGGAAATCATTAATATCGGACATTTCTTACTTTGATATATACGGCAGTTTGACCACCTGCTGAACGACAATACTTAGTGAATTTTGCACTGTTTTTTGTTTCTATGGTATATCTTTTTAATCATGATAACATCGGACATTTGAAATGACAAATTGACTTTAAATAAACACGTTAATAAACATGATAATTATTCATCATGTACTGTATTAAAAACTCCGCGGCACGAAATTTATTAACCTGATAATTCAAGTGATATATTGGAAATTTTTACTTCTTTCTTAAATATCTATGTTAAGTATAGAGTAAATAATATATAACAATTGCTTTCGCTGGACTCAAACATGGATACATAATCATCTAAATTAATTGTAACGTATAAGGTTTATACATTTCATCTAAATTTTTAATTATTTTTAGCTGCCATCTTTATTAATCCATTTTGATAACAAAAAAAACTCCATATTATACAATAATTATATAAGGGATGTATTAATCTTTTCGTGCCGTTTCTAGAAAATTCGACAAATTCGACATCATATTAGGGTACCTGCAAGGTAGGGATTGCTGCGGGCATTAAAAGCAAATAGAACTACAGTAAACAGCACAAATTATATCAAGCACAGTGATTACTCGCAGCGACTAGTGAGCTGTGAAATGTGAATGGAACTGATAGCAAAGACCAGGGGTTAAAGGGCAATCAGAGGTGACAGATATTAAACATGTGCGTCTCATTGGCATACAGGTAAATTAAGATCAAATTTCATATCAAGTCTGTTTACTGCTAGGCGCATTTACCACATTTTATAGACTATATACACAGATTTATGTTATCAAAAATATAGAACTGACAGTGGCCAAAGTCCAAAACAAATGTAAGCGTAACATTAGACTTGAAAAGCTTCAGAAATTCGATAAAAATTCGAAGACTCAAGCGAGTTTAAAATGTGTGTTCTGCGCATAGAAAGCGCGCACGACCACAATTCCATTAGTTCAAAACCCCCTCTCTGCATATATTAGGTTGCTGCTACGCTCGCTCGCTTCAGGCTCGCTCGCTCCGCAGCAATAAGCGGACGAAGCATTCATCCGTGAGAATTTGCATTTTTGCTCAAATCAAGCCAGTGACTGGGCACAAATGTCTAACTTAGTAAACATATTCGTCATACATTATATACTCGAAAATAACTTCTATGTTCCAGTTGCTGTCAATGAAGAAAACCTTGTGATCAGCATAGATCGTATACCCAGTTTGGTAAAGGATTAAACGGGATGTTATAATAGCAAGTTTTGTTTGTATTCAAGCTAAAGTTCAAAGATAAGACAAGTCAAAGGCAGACATCAAACAGCGTGGAATAAGCCTGATTAACTGAAGAAACAGCAAAGAAAACGTCTAGGTTCCAAGCATATTCCAAGCGAATCAAAGCAGGCACTGAACAGCCAAGAACTATCTTTACTTCAGATTTTTATCCATAGACCAGTTCAAACGATGGCAAACCATACCAACACAACAGAGCCAGGAGAATATTTCATGGTAGGATGGTTTAAATATCCCAAAGACCTCGATATCAACTATGATCTTCTTCAATTACTATATATCATCATTATGATCACATCTCTGCCATTAAATGTCATATTCCTAGCAATGATAATCAAAAACCCTGGCAGTAAAACTTGGACTAATATGAGCATTATTCTCGCAAGTATTTGCGTGTTGTTTTTAACTGTAAACAGTATCACTACAGCGAACCAAGTTTATAGAATATATCACGGAGATCAGACGACACTTATAAGTGATAATGTGATCAAAAATGTCCTACAAGTAACATTCACAAAATATTACTCTAGCGCTTTCCTTTTAGCGCTTATTACATACGCTATGATAGTTAAACCACTGCTATATAAAGCTCTGGCGCCTAAACCACGAACTATGGTGTTTATAATATTGGGACTGTGGCTAACTGGCGCAGGAGTGTTTTTGATGCTACCACTATTTATCGACGATGATATTATGCGGACGATTGCGGTTTTATTTTGTTGGATAATGACATTTGTGATAGGGATTATGTATGCAAAAATTTTGACCACACTTCGACGTAGAAAACGTGAACTACAAGGCACATTAAATGTGGCAGCCTCACGTCAGGGTTTACTGGTTATTAAACAGAATTCAAAGCTAGCTACAACACTGTTTTTATATATTTTATTCATGGTTCTCATGACACTACCTATAGGTACATGTTTATTTTTATTAAACAACTGCCCGCCATGTAATAATCCACTAACTATAAAGATTATTCTCCATCTCATTCCCGTCTCGGTGTCAATGACTGTCTTGTTCCCAATCCACTGGCTGTTCGGCACGCCACAGTACTACAACGAGATCAAGAGACTGGCTTCGAAACTAATGACGTGTTTCAAACATTAAATGCCACAGATCTCAAATGAAAACTGGATAGCGCAATCCGTTGTTAACTAACTGGTACACATAATGAATCCAGTTTAAAAAACATAGAGATTCAGTTTAGTTCTATTTGTAAGATCATTGATTGAAAACATTCTTACAATGTACAAACAGAGATAAACGGAAATCATTTAACACTAACATGTAATTACATAAATGGGTAAACCTATCCATTTGCATGCAAATATTTAACAAAAGGATATTCTGCAGTCTAAAAATTTTATTCTGAATTATTCTTCTTTTATCAAAGAGCAAATAATGCAATACTCTAATATGAAGAGATAAATACTGTATTTCTGTGATATTGTAATAAATTCATTTTGAAATCAAAGTTTGGATTTGAAACACGACACGAAATTATAATGAACTTTAAGATAATTAGAAATATAGGACAAAATTATGGATAAAATGAAATATACTGAGCTTTACGGAAATTACTTTTCCTGGCCTTATCTATAATTAAAAACATTTGTAAGATCATTGGTTGAAAACATTCTTACAATGTATAAATAGAGATAAATTAAGAAATAAATTGATACTGGATATTCACAATACAAAAATCCAAAGATTCATAAGATAGACGAAGAAAAAGTTGTGTATGTACATCTAAAAAATATTCAACCAAACCACAACTGATTATTTATGTCACGTGTATCAACCTCTGGTCCATTTAATTACTTATAAATTCGTTTCTGCTCTGACACAATTTCCAATGCGTAGTGATTGATTGTGTATATATCACACATAAGTGCACATGCAATATTGATTTTAATTATTATACTTATTATCGTGTTTTTCATGTACTTTATTAAAAAATCATTCACTTTCGAGATAGGAGATATGTACTAATGATTGTTATATAGTTTTTATATAATTTTTCTGTTTGCCGATTGGTCAAAACCGTGTCACGTGCCGGTCCACAAAACGTCATGTTCGGCAACCGGTCCGCAATCAAACATTTATTGACCGGTCAATAATAAAATGGGTGCAATACGCATGCGTGTCAACCATGAAGTTCCAAAGTTCATTTATAAAACTTTTTACTAAACATTTACGACATTCCATTTATCCAGTTTTGGTTTCAAATTAAGTTCACTCCAATAACCGGTGAATTATTCATACTTTGACACCTATATCCTATATAACAAAACACTTCTTTACTGAGACCTCGGGAAAGCAATGTTTTGTGGCCCCTCGACCGCCGTTGTTTCCCTCGGCTTCGCCTCAAGCAACAACGGCGGTCTCCGGTCCACAAAACACACTGTTTTCCTCGGTCTCAGTAAATAAGTGATAAATATATGACGTCAGTTCAGGAAACTATTAAAAGCGTAGGCATTGACGTCAGGGGTGGACAAAGCATTCATCCGTGAGAATTTGCATTTTTGCTGAAATCAAGCCAGTGACTGGGCACAAATGTCTAACTTAGTAAACATATTCGTCATATATTATACTCGAAAATAACTTCTATGTTCCAGTTGCTGTCAATGAAGAAAGTCTTGTGATCAGCATTGATCGTATACCCAGTTTAGTAAAGGATTAATTGGGATGTTACATAGTAGCAAGCTTTGTTTGTAGTCAAACTAAAGTTCAAAGATAAGACAAGTCAAAGACAGACATCAAACAGCGTGAAATAAGCCTGATTAACTGAAGAAACAGCAAAGAAAACGTCTAGGTTCCAAGCATATTCCAAGCGAATCAAAGCAGACACTGAACAGCCGGCCACAAGAACTACCTTTACATTTTTATCCATAGACCAGTTCAAACCATGGAATACCATACCAACACAACAGAACGAGAAGAATATTTCATGGTAGGATGGTTTAAATATCCCAAAGACCTCGATGTCAACTATGATCTTCTTCAATTACTATATGTCATCATTAATATCATATCTCTGCCATTAAATGTCATATTCCTAGCAATGATAATCAAAAACCCTGGCAGTAAAACTTGGACTAATATGAGCATTATACTCGCAAGTTTGAGTATAATGAATTTAGCTGCAAACGGTGTTTCTACAGTGAACGAAGTTTATAAAATATATGAAGGAGATCAGACAACACTTATCAGTAATAATGTGATGACAAGCATCCTGGCAATGGCGTTCACAAAATATTACGTTAGTACTTTCCTTTTAGCGTTTATTACATACGCTATGATAGTTAAACCATTGCTGTATAAAGCTATGTCACCTAAACCAAGAACTATGGTGTTTATAATTCTAGCACTGTGGTTAACTGCTGCAGGAGTGTTTCTAATTCTACCATTATTTATCGACGATTACAGTGATATTACGCAGACGATTGTGGCAATATTTACTTGGCTGTTTACATTTGTGATGGCGATTATGTATGCAAAAATTTTGACCACACTTCGACGTAGAAAACGTGAACTACAAAGCACATTAAATGTGGCAGCCTCACGTCAGGGTTTACTGGTTATTAAACAGAATTCAAAGCTGGCTACAACACTGTTTGTATACATTATAATCTTGGTTTTAAAGACATTACCCATAACAACATGTTTATTTTTATTAATTAACTGCCCGCCATGTAATAAACCGCTAACTATAAAGCTTATTCTACATCTCATTCCACCTACGTGCCTAATGTCTGTCTTGTTTCCAATCCACTGGCTGTTCGGCACGCCACAGTACTACAACGAGATCAAGAGACTGGCTTCGAAACTGATGACGTGTTTCAAACATTAAATGCCACAGATCTCAAATGAAAACTGGATAGCGCAATCCGTTGTTAACTGGTACACATAATGAATCCAGTTTTAATACCATTTGAGATTCAGTTCAGTTTTATTTGTAAGATCATCGATTGAAAACATCCTTACAATGTATTAACAGAGATAAACGGAGATCATTTAACACGAACATGTAATTACATGAACGGGTATTAACATGTAAATTAGGATACCTAGCCATTTGCATGCAAATATTTAACAAAAGGATATTCTGCAGTCTAAAACTTTTATTCTGAATTATTCTTCTTTTATCAAAGAGCAAATAATGTAATACTCTAATATGAAGAGACAAATACTGTATTTCTGTGATATTGTAATAAATTCATTTTGAAATCAAAGTTTGGATTTGAAACACGATACCAAATTAATGAACTTAAGGATAATTAGAAATATAGGATAAAATTATGAATGTAATGAAATATACTGAGTTTTTCGGAAATTACTTTTCCTGGCCTTATCTATAATTAAAAACATTTGTAAGATCATGGGTTGAAAACATTCTTACAATGTATAAATAGAGATAAATTAAGAAATAAATTGATACTGGATATTTACAATATGGCCATAAGATAGACGAAGAAAAAGTTGTATATGCCCATCTCAAAAAATATTCAACCGAACCACAGCTGATCATTTATGTCACGTGTATCATCCTCTGGTCGATTTAATTACTTATAAATTCGTTTTTTACTCTGACACAATTTTCAATTGAGTTTCTAGAACACATAAGTGAACATGCAATATATTGATTTTAATTATTATGTTTATTAACGTCTTTATCATGTGCAGTATTAAAAAAAAAATCATTAACTTTCGAGATAAGAGATGATATGTAATAATGAATATACGACGTCGGTGTAGGGAACTATTAAAAGTGGAGGTATACAATACGATGCATTCACTCGTGAAAACATTTGGTACATCAGGCCAATGACTGGGTACAATTGACTAGCTTAGCAAATAGATTTGTCACGTATTTTACTCCAATGTAATTTTCACGTAGTCTGGTATTTAAATGGATGTTAAATTGCAAGCTTTGAAAACTAAAGTTCAAAGATAATACAAGTCAAAGACAGACATCAAACAGCGTGGAATACGCCTGATTAACTGAAGAAACAGCAAAGAAAACGTTCCAAGCATATTCCAAGTGAATCGAAGCAGGAACTGAACAGCCGGCCACAAGAACTATCTTTACTTCAGATTTTTATCATAGATATTTCATAAATAGTTTTATCATAGATAGTTCAAACCATGGCAAGCCATACCAACACAACAGAACGAGAAGAATATTTCATGGTAGGATGGTTTAAATATCCCAAAGACCTCGATATCAACTATGATCTTCTTCAATTACTATATATCATCATTATCATCACATCTCTGCCATTAAATGTCATATTCCTAGCAATGATAATCAAAAACCCTGGCAATAAAACTTGGACTAATATGAGCATTATACTCGCAAGTTTGAGTATAATGAATTTAGCTGCAAACGGTGTTTCTACAGTGAACGAAGTTTATAAGATATATGAAGGAGATCAGATGACACTCATAAGTAATAATGTGATGACAAGCATCCTGGCAATGGCGTTCACAAAATATTACGTTAGTACTTTCCTTTTAGCGTTTATTACATACGCTATGATAGTTAAACCATTGTTATATAAAGCTATGTCACCTAAACCAAGAACTATGGTGTTTATAATTCTAGCACTGTGGTTAACTGCTGCAGGAGTGTTTCTAATTCTACCATTATTTATCGACGATTACAGTGATATTATGCAGACGATTGTGGCAGTATTTATTTGGCTGTTTACATTTGTGATGGCAATTATGTATGCAAAAATTTTGACCACACTTCGACGTAGAAAACGTGAACTACAAAGCACATTAAATGTGGCAGCCTCACGTCAGGGTTTACTGGTTATTAAACAGAATTCAAAGCTAGCTACAACACTGTTTTTATACATTGTAAGCTTGGTTTTACAGACATTACCCATAACTACATGTTTATTTTTATTAATTAACTGCCCGCCTTGTAATAAACCACTAACTATAACGCTTATTCTACATCTCCTTCCCCCTGCGTTGCTAATGTCTGTCTTGTTCCCAATCCACTGGCTGTTCGGCACGCCACAGTACTACAACGAGATCAAGAGACTGGCTTCGAAACTGATGACGTTTACCGCAGTGCAACGTGGAACTACTTGATGAACCTATGAAGCCAGA